ACAAATATTCTTGACCCACTTCTGTTTATGCTGGTCATCTAGAAGGAAATGTCAAATTGCAGCTGTTAACTATCCAGATAACACAGAAACTGGTATGATAAACTATTTAGCCATATAACTGCCCAGAGTGCACAATTATAGGCCTCACTTAGAATAATCTCTTTGCTCTTCAATGTGAAGCTGTACCTTTGTGACCATTAGTACAAATCTTCTGTAGGTTCAGCATTAATATCCAGGAAAGTAGTAATAGTAGTAATAACAGATCTCTAATTTAGAATTTCATGCAGTTCTCATATATACTGTGCTAAGAGCTCTCTTGAATTTTGAAAAAAAAAGAAAGAAAATGACACTGTTAAAAGCCCGTGATGAGACCTTTTGCAGAATATTTTGTCCCCTTCTGTTGTGTTTGTATCAAAAAAATGTATTTTCAAGTTGGAAAAAAAGTTGATGACAAAGTTAAAATTTTAAATGATATATTTGGAAAGTCTGTCTTCCTGTGAAACCGAAGAAACCTGTTTTATTCAAGAGAAATTAATAAGTGATTAAATCTGATAGTACCTGTATAAGAAGATGACCTTTTGTCAGGTCATTTTCTTTAGTAGGTACAGAAGTATGACAAGATGCAATGAACAGATGGTAAAGCTGGATACATTCAGAAGGGGAAAAAATGGGATTTTTATTTTTTTACAGTGAAAATACTTAAAAGTAAGTAGTGAATCTGGTTACTTGAAATCTTTGAAAGATGTCCCTTTTTTCTGCAGAACATATTCTAGCTCTTCCATGTGTTAGAAGGCTTTTAGATAATTTTTAGCATGAGGAGAATAAGAATAGATGTTTTCTTGGCTTTCGTGTATATGAATTATCAGTTAAATTTCCCGCTAAATCTGGATAGGAAGACCTAATGAGCGCATATTCTATTTGTGCAGACACCAATGTATAATTGCAATAATTGCTATTATTGAGTTAAAGTAAACAATGTTTATAGGTTATTTACAAAGTGAACCATTTTTCCAAAATGCGCCATATTGCCTTTAGCTTTCACTGACATTCAGCTAAAGAATCTTTTGTTTCTTATGTTTTATGGCAATTATTTAATATTTGTGTAAGGAAGTATTAATATTCTAATTTATACATTTTGCCTACAGAAGATAGTTTTGAGAAGAACAGAAAAGAAAATGTTGTATGAATACTCAGGGATGCTCGCATTAGTCAAAACATTTTCTTTTTAAAGTAAATTCTAGTCCTTTTGCAATTCTTCTGACTTTTGATCAAGAAAATATTGATTGTGATTCACTTAGAGGCCCGCATGGGGTTCAGCTTGCAACATGAAGCTGCTGATGAAAGATGTTGTTATACAGACTGCAATAATGCAATCCTGTGGTTAAAGGAGAAAGTCTTGGCTAACAGACATACAGATAATTAATAGGGACATAAGGCATCTAATGGACATTTTAGTAATTATGGTGGGGTGTTTTTTGTTTTGTTTTTGTTTTGCTTTTTAGGAATATAATGGAGCAGTTTGCCATACAGAAATTACACTTTTTTAAAAAAAAAATGGTCGGGCTTTATGAATCTGTTACTAAAATAGCTTTTTTTAAAGATTGAGCAGTATAAAGATACCATATGCCTTCTCTTAATGCATTTCTAATTTAGCTTTGCAGATTTATTTATTTATTTTTAAACCGGGGAATTTTGTGAAAAATCACCTAGCCAGCTTAGTGCCGCAGCTGTGGGGAACACTTTAATATAGTTACTGGAGTTTAATTGAAGCGTCTTGTTTCTTGTTCTAATTTGAAGTGAAGTCATTATTTCAGTTAGATTCCTTGAATCACCTGTTAAGCTCAGAGTGGTCCCTTTCTTTGATTGCTGTAGTTTGCATTTGGTGAACTGTGTTGTGGAGGTGATTTTAGTCACCTTTAGTCTCCAATACGAGATCTTGCTGAGAATTCAACCAGAGCTCTGAACGCAAGTTTTTACTTGCAGACTGGACTAGATAACTAGTCTGAATGAACAAGAGCATATTTTATAATTATCAAATGAAAACTTAGAATAGATTATGAATATTTTTAAACATACAGTGTTTTTATATGTCCAGGCAATTATATACCTATGTTGGTATACATTTTAAAATTATGAAAGAGGTAGTGACTAAGAGATGTTACAAATTTTGAAGTATGTTCCAGACCAAGGAACTTAACTCTTTTAATTGTAATTTGAGATTAAAGAGAAAAAAAATCTAAGTAGATTTGATCACAAGAGTTTTGATATCTAAGTGTGTAAATGATATTACAGTTGTAATGATGTAAAAATTTTTCCTCTTATTTTTGTTCTAATGCTGGAATTTCTATTACATAACTTAAATCTGGACTCTTTTATAACAGAAAACCATTTGTACCAGGTGGACCAAAGCTTCATATAGCTTCTCTTAAGTTTTGTATGGTTGCTTAAAGAAGAATAGAAAAGCAGAACAAGCAAGTAGTCATACCCTCCCATTTTTAGCAGATTGTATCTTAGCTTCTGGATCATGCCAGACACACTTTCTCTGATAGAAGTCTACATTTCCCCCTCAGTTAAAAAGGTAAATGTCATTATTTGGCCAGGGAAGTCAGACTTTAAAAATGTGAGAGAATGTCTAATTCTAATAGGAATTTCTGAAGAGAAGCTTCTTAATGAGTTTTTCATGTGGTTTTACTGTACCAATGCAAAAAGACCATAGGACTCAAATGTCTAGATTTTGTTCCCAACTCTTATACTGGTAATATTTTGAATATTAAAAAAAAATCTCATCTATCAGTCTTGAGAATTTTCTCATCATTTGCTTAGAACATACATACTTCGTATCATATTGTGGGAAGGCGTTCAAGATGTTACGGTGGTTTAATGTGCTATCAGTGACTATTAGTGAAGAGTAATTAAGATGTCCACTGTCTTAGAGAAATGACTTACAGCATATTGTATCTTTCAGTAACAAGTCATGCAGTTTAAACAAGCTCAGTTAATTTTGATATTCCCCTCCAGCTCTTGGGCTTCTTTCTGTTTGTTGTTCTGCTGCTTAAGGCATATGTTTCAGATAACTACATCATCTGACACATACAAGAATGTATATGGCCTAGGAAAAGAAGTATGAGGCTTGTCAATTCATGTATACATGTGCAATGAATGTGCAGGCACGAGGAATAATATTATTCTCCCTCCCCTCATGTTTTCCACCCTGTTTTTTTATTTCATCAGGGAATATTTCAGCAAATACTGATGTAAAATAACAACTATACCTTAATCGTTAACTGTTTCATTGTTCCAACAGTCCGTACGGTACTTATACTTCCTAGTGCTAGATGCTCAGACTGGTGCAGCGTGCAATGAGTAAGCTGACTATCTTTATTGACAGCATCAACAAAGAGAGCATTGTGGACGTGGAAGGCGTTGTGAGGAAAGCATATCAGAAAATTGGAGGCTGTACTCAGCAAGATGTTGAGCTGCACGTTCAAAGGGTAATTTATTGAGCAAATGGATCATTGGGTTAATTGTTTGAGATTTTTTTTTTCTTCTGTCTACTTATATAAACTTTGTCAAAATGTTGTCAAATATTTCCTCAGTAAACTGTCCTGTACCAGAAACACCAGCTGCTTTAAACTGCCAATTTCAGCATGTCAAACATAAGCATGAAACAGTTCTGTTTGAGTGGGTTTGTTGTTGTTGTGTTTTTTTAATTTCTGTTCCTATCTGCCATTTGGAATATAATAACAAGTAAAATAAAGTATCTTGCTAGAATAATTTGACTAGGAATGCTTGTAATTCTAGCTCTGGTTCTTAGCAGCAGCTACTGTCATAAAAAAAAAAATCTTATGTGTAAGTCAGAAGTTTCTTTATCACAAAGATGCAATCTTGCCCTTGGTACAATAGAATGGAATACGTCACACTCAGTGAAAACAAAGCGTTGACTTAACACTGTGGAAGTTTTTGAAATCTAAAATCCCCATAATATGTACTGTAAGGCTGGAGGAAGTGCAACTTTATAATTTGTTTAAATAGAATGTATATTTAAACCTTTAGGTAATATCCTTTGCTTCTAAGGGTTTTCAACCACTTCACAAACTGTGTGCCTACAATACTGTTGAAACATGGTCATTTTGATAGCAGAGCACAAAGGCCAGACATAGACATTGATGCTGTAGCAATAAGGTAAATTTTAGCTAATAGTGTTGAGGAAAGTCTGCAGATTTCAAAGAAATATATTTTAATATAGGTATAGGTATAGCTTTGTTTTTTCCTGCAAATTGATTACATATATTATTAGACTGTAAGGCAAGATGTCTTTCTCTCACGATATTTTAGTTATCTCATAAATTTTCAGTCTGAAACAATTCTTTCAGATATAATCATAGGAAAACTGTAAAATAACAACGGGAGGACTGAGATGGTCCTGCTGGAATCAAAATTGAAAAGTCTGAAATCTAGTAGTTTCAGATCAGGTATTCATGATGAATAAGCCTTGTCCCTCAGGCAGGGTACGCTTCATGTACTTGTTCAACTCAACGCTACTCTGCTTCCCAGGGAAGAAAAGAAATAACAAACAAAAATCCCAGAAAAGTAAACTTTTTTAATCTTTCCAAAGGAAAATCAGAACTAAGGACCTCCAACGTTGTCAGGAGCATGCAACCACAGATCTTGACTATTTGAATAAAATCACAGTCTTCCAGCAAACAGCCTATGCAAAGCACCGTTTCATGGTTATGCCAGAAATACCCTTTTGTAAATCACACCTCCTTTTGAGCTGAGTGTCATGCTATTTCTGTTTCTGTCTCACTTTCAGATCTATGTGATCAGTTTGGCTGAACCCCGATTGCCCTTACAGCTGGATGATGCTGTTCGGCCTGAAGTGGAAGGAGAGGAGGTGAAAACTTTGCATCCTCTAATACCTTTTAATATATTAGTAATTGAACAAAAGCACAAATTACTGTCAGCTTCCTTTTTGTAGTGATTTTGGCTGGTTGGTAGACTTAAATTTTACATTTTGTCCAACATCTGTTAAAAAGTTCTATTTGCTTGCTGAACTTCAGTAGAAAGTCAGAAACAGGTGTTTTACACTCTGAGACATATTTGTGTCCATGTCAGTTCTTCTGACCCTCACAGATGCTTTCTGCCTGTGACTACTGGGAAAGCTTACATACCTTAATCTTTGCTTATGTTGGTAATTTGCTGTATGCTCTTCAGGCTCTTATAGAAATTATTTGAATGTGGGAATAAACCTCTGTTTTATCCGAAGAACTTCTTTATTGGTTTTGATGATGTTGTTACATATTTCAAATCTGTATTTTTGCACAATTCTTTAGGATGGAAGAGCTACCGTAAACCAAGATACAAGACTGGACAACAGAGTTATTGATCTGAGGGTACGGAATGTTCTGTGTTGCATGCTCATGTGTATTTGTTGCTCAGGTATCTAATCCATAAAGCAATAGAAAGGCCTTTGATGAAAGCTGTGTTCTTTGCCAGAGGAAAAATGAACAATGTGTTTCTCAGTTTGAGACAGACATTATTAAAAAACCAAACAAGCAAAAAAACCCACAGCTTCATCTGTGTATGCATGTACAAACAACAGGGGGGGGGAAAAAAAAAGACAAAACTCTCCTGAAATTCATCAAAGAATATATATTAGTAGTGCAGTGGTGCATATTTAGAATTTGTCATGTGCCTCTGTTTTTTTTGTTTGTTTGTGTTTGTTTTTATATTAACAAAATCAAAAAGTAGATGCTTGGACAGCTTACAAACTAAGAAACAATATTTCCTCTCAATTGCGTTAGCCTTGTAAGAGCTTAGTGTTGAAATATATGGTGGAATTTGCAGCTGAGGCCCTGTAATGTTTATCTTAAAAGTGAAATGGTACCAGCTAGTAATGCTGATCTCAGTATTAGTTGGTTTGTTTTGAAGCTCGAACTTCAACTCTGCCTTCTGCAGATGTTATTTTCCTCCCTCATTCCAACAGCTGTTGTGAACCATGCTATACAAGTATTTCGTGGGCACTATTCAAAAGTTAAACTCTCTTTCTGAATTTTACTAACTTTTGCTATGCTGATGAATACAAAATGACAGATTTCAGTGCCTTCTCTCTCGGCCTCCACATCCAGTCGTGGCAGGATCTAACCTGGCTACAACTTTCCCTTGACTAGGGAAATCTCCTTTGTCGTCTTTGTGCAATGTATGGGAAATGCTTCTGGTCCTGACCCCACCACATTCCTGGGCAGCCTGTCTGTTTCCCACTTCATTCTTTGTTTCAGATCTAGAGCAGCTATTCATAACTTTGCGTTCTTTGTTCTGCAAGAGCCTTTGCTTGAGCAAAAAGGATTCTAAATAGTTAACACATTACTCTGGTGTTTTTTTACTTTTTCTACTTATTCGGCTCTCCTTAAAGGATTTAATGGAGAAAGGGAGAATCTCAGTAAGAGTATGTGTGTTTGTGTCCATGCTCTAAGCACTGTATGCTGTGCAATTACAGGAGCCAGGACACTGTGGCAATCTGTCTGTCAAAATAATTTAAAAGGCTACTAATTAACTTTCAGTGATTTGATAGCATAAATTGGACCCATAGGACAGACTGAGGCTCTGGTATTTCAAATACATTGCTTAAGTAGGTATGTGCTAATCAAGATTAGAAGACATGATGTCTTAAAAGCTTACAGGGCCACCTGAAACCATTGTTATCCGCTTGCTCTCCCATACAGTTGCTTCTGGTAAAATCAAATTATTGGCAGCAGTGAAAAAAATGTTAACAAGGTATTTCTAATGAGTTGCTGTGACGATCTGTCCTCACATGTGTGGGAGGAAGTCAAACCACAAATGTATGTACCATGTAGTTCTGGTTTCCTCAGTGCTCTATTTTTTTAAGGAAGGAGCGGGGTCGTTAAATATCGAAAATAGAGATGCTATTTTTTGGAGAAAGATGTAAGGAGCTAAATGCTTATACTCTTGTAGACTCTGAATGAAAAAAAAATAACAATCCTTACTATAGGACTAGAATTATGCTTGACCATTTAAATGCGGGCTTAAAAATAGTTTAATACTTTAATTTTTTTTTTTTACTAGTGTGTTCACTGCTTTGGACCAAATTATGCTAAAACATAGTTATGAAACTCAGTTCTTGCATGAATGAGAGGGATCAGGTTTCCAAAATAGTATAGATCCATCTAGCAGGATTCTCCTGGTGTAGGTTAGTTACCATGACGAACACAGCTATTTTAAGACATAAACATCTTAGTTTTCACAATAGTTTAATAAGAATCAAAACCTCCTTTCTAATTGTTTGATGTACTGTCCTCTAAATTGCTGTATTTAAGTTTCTGTGAAATATGCACTAACATGTAACTTCTCATGTATATATAAACTACAGAAACTGTTGAAGGACTGTATTTCATGAAGTTTTTGGTGAAGAAAAAAAGTAGGAAAATAACACAAGCAAGTAATAATAGATATTAGATTTCTGCTTGTTGGTGTATTTTCATCCTTAAAAAAAATATCATTCAGGTTTATTGTTTGATGACCAGGGGATATTTATCTCAGCACTGTCCAAATTTAACTGGACTTATATGCATTCTGCAATTATTGAATTATATTCAAATTCTGCAGCTGGCCTGAAGAGCAAAATGGAAGGTTTGCAACTTTGCGGCTGTGCTTTAGTCGCACCTCTTTGAGATGTGATTGCTGAAGGTGTTAACTGCCCTGAATATTATCAAAACACCTTTACTTCTCTGTTGCTGGTGATTTAGATGGCAATGATTATTCTAACACCACAGATCATGCTGCATACAATGTGATAATAGTTAATATAATCTTAGTTACAGTGTTAGAACATATTATCTTCTATTATTATATTTTGCTTTGTAGCATTTAAATAATAAACAGTAGGTGAAAGTAGGGTGAGGTTGTGAGCAAACCTCATATTTCAGCATTTTTAACTGTACATTTTCTGCTTTTACAAATGTGGTTATTAAAGATAGGGAGTTCTCTTGTAAAACCAGCTCTGCAGTCCAAGTTAAAATATTAAGCGCGCAGAAGTCGAGTGGCATGAGTTTTTCCAAGTTCTGCTTAAATCTTGAAGGCATATTTGCCATCTTTGGCTTGGTCCCAGATACAGTTTGCCAATACGCTTGGGTAAGAGTTCATGTTAGATTAAATGCTACAGGAAAAAAAAAATGCCCTGGGGTTATCTTTTTACATATACAATATCCCTTTGAATGGATCCAGTGCTTTGATGTGCCACTCTGCAAAGTTGCATAGAGCTGGGCTAAGGTGCTTGTCTTAGCATCTGTCTGGCTCTTGAGACCAGTGGAAAAAGGGTGAAAACATTTGAGGGTACTTTTGTAACTGTTGCTCAAAACCTCATTTCCTTCATTTTGAAAGTAGTGGGAGTAGCGGCTGTGGTTAATGCTATCAGACAGCGAGAGCCGCGAGCAATTGCTACAGGCTTAGCCAATTACATTGCTCTGATACTTTATCAGTCTGCTGGAACGGCAAATATCTCCGAATTACTATGAATCTGCAGTAATATTATAGCTTTCTGTCTCAGATTTTCAGTTTGTCTTCCAGAGATGATGGATGTAGTTTTATTTCAATGTATGCAATATTTTGTCTGTCTAAATTTGGTCGTTATATAATTTGCTTTGATTTTTTTTGTTTTGTTTTGTTTTGTGGTTTGGTAGGAGTCATGTGAAAAAGGCCACAAGGTTCTTTACCCCAACTGAAAAGTTGGGTACCTTTCAGAAAGGAGAAGTAAACAGTGCTGTGACGCACATCGTCGTAAAGAAGTGTTCTGGCAGTTGCTTGCAAGAATTCCTTGATGTTTTTGTACGCGCTTGTAGGCTGCTAACTGTCACGTCTCAAACGCTGCAAGTGCAAAATCAGATACGGGTTCAGTACTGACGTATTGCAGTGTTTGCAGCATGCACTAAGTTTGGGTTTTTTTTCACACTAAAGCCTGAGAGTGTTAAAGGAAAACCTAGTGTTAGTATTTGCTAAGCAGAGAAACAGCTTAATTGTGTCATGCACATAGACAAATAGAAGATGATCAATTCAGGTTTCCACCTAAATACAGGCAGCTTTTGGTATAAATTTTTGGAAGACAAAATAATTGCCATTCTCATATTGGGTGTATGTGGATTGTTTCAAATGCTGCTTAGGAGATCTCCCTTTGGAGTTGAGTGTGTGATGGTTGTCTTACATGGATTATGTGTGGCTATGTTTTATGTGACAAAACATCATATTTGGGAGTCTTTAATAGAATCAAACATTCCTACCAAGTATAAGTTGAGTGTTGCTTTTATCATGCATTATAGGCTTCTGCAGCTGCTGTAGTTTAGTGTGGTAAAAGCTTTTTAATAGATTTTTGTTTTTATTTAATTTCTTACTATAATACCTTATTTGCAGAAGCACATCTCAAATCAGTGATTCTTTAAATGCTGAATTGACTGTAATGCCTCCTTAGTAACGGAATGGTCTGTATATTCAAATTAAGTGATTCTTCTGTTTCCTTTGCTATATTCTTCTTGTGTAATAAATACCAATTTGTGCTTTTCTCTATTCAGTCAAATAAATACAGGAAATGAAATCTTCCTAAGAGAAGAGGTTCATCCTTCCAGCTATCTGGAAGACCTGAAGAACCTGGAAAACTAATGTAGGTTTCATTATTTTTTCTTCTTCTTATAGACCTCAACTAGTCAGGCAGTCTTCCGCCTTCAGTCTGGTATTTGTCAGCTTTTCCGAGAAACTCTCATTCACAAGGGATTTGTGGAAATACAGACTCCCAAAATTATTTCAGGTAATGTATATTTTATTCAGCATCTACAGATCTCCCTGTAGAGTTGTTCAGTGTAGCTATCTCCTAAAAATTTGTCAGCTTTTTAAGACACTTCTGATTTAGATGTAATACAGCAACCTTCTAGCAGGTAATGAAGTTATTCTTCACCTGGCTTCAGATGCTGAAAAAATGACAACACAAATATATATACCTAATGTATGTACTCTGCAGCATATGCAAGTTTTGATTTGGTTTAATGAAGATACAAGATACAACATAGAAACATGTGCAGTCATGTGTGTTATTCTGCACATCAGTGTTCTGAATGATGGACACTGGCAATCTAAAATCCTACTTTCAAAACAAAAAATGTTCCAGTTTAACTTAAAAGCAGCTTCCATCATGTAGGAGTTGCAACCACCATATCATGGTATAAAAGATGATGGCATTATAGTAAATACTGACTGTCACCTCTGTAGCAATGAGCGTATGATTGAATGGAAGGTGTTAGCAGTGTTTTCCTGAAGGTGTGGCTCAGGACATTCAGCTCAAATGAAAGTTTTGAAAGGTAGGTTTAGCTTCTGATTCTGTCGCTAATTTGCTGTGTTTTCTTCAAAAGTGAAGTTTTCATATACAGTTTTTCTTCCAACTCCGGTGTACTTTGAGGTTTTATTGATGTCGCTAAGATATATTTTATAGAAAATGCTACTGTAGGGCAGAATATTTGTATTGTTCATATTTTGTGTGTTTATTATACAGATACATTTTGCCTACTAAGTTTAATACTTTTCCGTTTATATTTTGAAGACTGGTCTTCATAGAGATAAAACCAGCATGGGTTTTTTTGCTTTTACAAAATTCATGTAAGCAGCTGTCCTTACTATATGGAATGTACTGCTGAGCTATATGATTTACTGCCTTTGTTTCAACTGTCTCTGTAGGAAAAGCATGAAGCATTGAAGACTCCCAAATAATGTATTTACATAGGACCTTTCAGTGTGCTCTTGTTTCTGTGCAGCGTATCACTGAAAGCAAGCAAGCATCCTATTATCGGAATGAAATAACGTTTTGGTTTTTTTTTTTTAAAAAAAAGGTTAAATAGATGCAGCCCTTGCTAAACTTTGCATTTAAATCTTACCTGTTTTAAGGAGATTTTAAATGTTGAACTGTGTTCAAAAAATAAGTATGTAGATATTCACCTAGACCATTTTAGTGGGAGTATTAGTACTGAAAGAAGAGAAACGTTTATCTTGGTGGAACAGTTAATAATAATGACAGTATTTAGCACTTTACCTAGTGTTATCATAAAATTTTTAGGGACTTGCTAACAAGTAATTTCCTCTGGCATATTTTTGTTAGCAAGGTAGGCAAACGTAACTTTCATATCACTCACTGAGAAAAGTAAAGTGACTCAGCTGATAGTTTAAGCAGTTTACAATGAGGAATTCAAAGGCATGTGTTCTTGTCTCCTTTTTTCTTAAGGTAACTTGCTGTGCTAATTGCCTCGTACTAAGAGAAATGTTTAGACCTTTGGCAGATGTCTTCTGGTAAATCTAGCTGTGCATCTTGGCCTCATCTGGCCATCAAAGCCAGTTAACTCTGGTCTTGTAGGTGAAAGGAACAGTTGGGGATAGTAATATCTTAAACTACCCCAACAAAATTTACAGGACAGTGCCTTATGGTTGTGAGCCACAAAATTTCCCGCAACTCTAATGGATGCCATTGTATCTTTTTCATCTCATTCCATATGCTTTGAAGAAAAATCTCATTCTTGCCTTTAAACATAAGCCCAATAGTAGTGGAATCAGTCTCTGAATTTTTCTTTCATTTTTATCCTAATAACTACTGTAAACATTTGTTTCAGCTGCCAGCGAAGGAGGAGCCAATGTTTTTACTGTATCGTACTTCAAAAGCAGTGCCTACCTGGCTCAGTCTCCACAGTTGTACAAGCAGATGTGTATTTGTGCTGACTTTGAAAAGGTTTTCTGCATTGGGCCAGGTAAGAAGAGCATGGGCTTATCCAAGTTTTGAAGTGTGCAGTGATGTCTTTTTGCAGTTTGGGGACAACTAAGATTCGTGTACGCTGAAAGCTTCAATAGTTTCACTTTATATGGTTTCACTTACCAAATGCAAATCTCAAGTGGGCTGACTAATAAAGCTGGGTAAGGTTGACAGAGAAGTTTCTGGAACAAAACTAAAATGCTAAAGCGAGAGTGGAATACTCTTCTCCAGTGCCTTCTCTTCCAGGAAGAGAAAGAATTTTTGCATTGAAAATCAATAATATGATGAAGTCAGTAAAACATTTAACAACTGTGATTGCTGAAGCTTGAAGTTTCCTATTAAACATGCTTTATTTGCCCAATAGCTAGTACTTGAAAATAGGCAATTTAGGTTTTCTGTACCTCAGATCACATATTAGAATATACTTATCCTTTGCTCTTGTATATGTACTAAACAGCTCTATTTAGAAAGTTCACAAGTGGGCTGTCAGTAAATAATCCAAATTTAATTTTTTCCAAGCTTATGCTTTCTTTCTCAAAATATGTGCTAAAATAAAGCCTTGACTCTTCAAGCAGTAATTTGGTACCTTTTCCTAAGACCTCAAAATCAGATTTTAGGGTGTCTAAGCGGGAAGTGCCGGAAAACGAGTAGTAAAAAGCTTACCAAAGAAAAAGGCAACAATTTCAGAAGATCTTAAATGTCTTGTCTTGTTAATATCTAAATCATGAGTCATGGATTGTAAGAGACATGTTTATCTACATTCACATACTTTGAAAACAACAACATGCACACGTGCAGAAACCCTTTTCCTCTGAAAAAGGCAGCTTTTCAAATCTGCAAGTTCTTACATGCCTGAAAGCTTGTCTGTTTTTTCCACTCCTGCTAGTCTACCACGAGCTACTGCCTCTTTACAGATCTTGCCTCTCTTGTATCCTTTAACTGTCACAGTTACAATGATGTTATCAGTGTTATAAATGATGCTTTGCAGAAGTCAGTTTTCTCTTTGTTTTTAGGTAAGAGTTGTCATGTCTAGAGGCAGCTTGTCTGCCTGTCCATAAATTGAAGGGATTATCTGCATGTGTGTGGTTTTTTTTTTTCCCCCAAACAGGAAAATTAATTTCAGGTAAATAGAATTTCTGATGTTTAATTTTACAGTGTTTAGAGCTGAGGACTCCAATACACACAGACACCTGACTGAGTTTGTTGGTCTGGATATGGAAATGGCTTTTAGTTATCACTATCATGAAGTGGTAGATGAGATTGCAGATACGTTGGTGCAGATATTCAAGGGACTTCAGGAAAGGTAACTAGAGCATTTTCCATTTTATAGATTACTTCATCTGTAGGAGATACCTAACACTGTGTTATGAAATGGGTGGGCATTTTATCCTCAGCCTGACAGATGATCATTAGTAATCTGATTTACAGGAGAGCTTCAAAACTCTCTCTGAGCTTAATGGTTTCTCTGTGCCTAACTTTAAGAGTTCAGTAAAGCCACAGGCCAGTACATTTTTTCTGGTTTTAGCTTGATTTGCACCTCCTAGAGTATGCCAGATTGCACTAAGAAGGCCTGTTTTTCACCGGTGAATAAACTTCTTAACAGAAATGATCCATCATTACTGTAAAATATCCTTCCTTTTATGCCATCAGAGGTAGACTGATTGATCCATTAATCTAATATTTACTGTTTAATAAAACTTTTAGAGATCCAGGCTACTACAACACATTTGATTTCTGTCATGAAAGAAGTGAAGGTTATTTTCCATTGCAGTTTTTAACTTGGTAAAAAGCCAAGCCAGCAATTTAAGGAGTGGTTTTCGTTTTCTTACAGATTAGAGCATCTTGACAACAGAAATGCAGATCTTTTCAGCTGACTATAGGGAAAATGTTCTATTTTATTGAAATTGTACAAATCCAAGTAGACCCTGGCTAAATACTACAAATCAAAAGGATGATGTAAATATGTCTTTATTCTGAAGAATTTGACCTAGTCAATGATTTCTTACAAAAGGAATAAAACAGAAGTAATAGTAAAATACTAATGTGTATATCATTTAAGCAGATTACATAAATTTGCATGAAGCATTTCAGTAGGATTATACAGAACTTTTCCAGAAGCTGCCTAAAAAATGATTGTATGTTGCAAGAGGGACCTCTTGTGGCAAGAATTTATTGGCATTGCAAAACCATTATTAGATACAAGAAGAGTTATGTTTCTTGATTGTGTTGTATTTTGCTTCTCTTTTGTTTTCTTGTATGTAGATTTCAAAGTGAAATTCAGACAGTGAACAAACAGTTCCCGTGCGAGCCGTTTAAGTTTTTGGAGCCAACTCTGAGGCTGGAATACTGTGAAGCTGTGGCCATGTTAAGAGAGGCTGGTGTTGAGATGGGTGATGAAGAAGATCTGAGGTATTGAAATGTATTAGACTTGCAGTAGTAAAGTGTCAGCTTGGCACTGTGCAGCTGACATATCTGGAAATGGATAAGCTGTTCTTATATCCAGATCTCCTACAAATAAATGGATGGACTTGAAAACAGGCCTTTCTTTCACTGTAGACTGTTTACAAAAACTCAGGACATCCAAAAGGCAACAACTTAAAATATGAAATGAGAGGAACTTTGAACCTCCTAAGCATAAAAAGTATTTGTTTGCCTAACAATTACAGTTATTCATGTGAATTGTCACTTTTTTTAAAAAAAAAATGGAATTAAATTAAAAGATTCTTCAGTCCGAAAGTCGTTCTTTTCAATAACACCTCCCCATTTCCTCCTCCTACCTCTCAGGAAAGTTGTTAGGCGATGGTTTCATTACCATTGACTGAAGGATGAATTTGTTCAATAGAGACATAAATTTAGTGCACAGATTGTCAGTGATCTGAATATAGTGACTTAGAAGTAGGTGTAGGTATAGGAAGAGCAAGAAATCTCCAGATGTCCGTTAATTTAGGGAATTTCTAGGACCAAATACAGCATACTTAGGAACAGAAACAAATAACTTCAGTTTTGAAATTGCTGTTCACACAATCCAAAACACTCAGAAACAAGTAATGTATTTTGTAAAAGTGGGATGCAGCAAATTGCTTCTAAACTCTTTAGCCTTATGAAACTATCATCGCTTAGGTGATTTTCAGTTTTATCACTTAATGGTGATAATCTTTTTCAGCACACCTAATGAAAAGCTCCTGGGACGCCTGGTGAAAGAAAAGGTAACTGTTATTTTAGACTAAATGCATTTGTGATTGAAACTGAAGCCTGAACTTGTGGAATGGGTGGGTACATTTTTTATGTACAGATGGAGAAGATGAATCTGAGAATATGCATAAATTAAGACAGTTTGTGCTTGGCGTAAGCATCTTCTGACATTATTTACATTTTGCTGTTACTTTATCTATTTTCAGTTTTTTTTTTTCCTTATCACCAGGAAGTTGTTTCAAACCATTTTAGATCGCTTTTGATATTTATCACCTGTTATGTTAAATACAATGAATACATGTATTTATTTTCCCTTAGGAGAATTAAAAACACAGATCCTAATTAATTCTCTAGCAGAACACAAGTCTTTGGCAAAAAAGAAATGACCAGTTATTATGGCAAGAGACTTTACTGTTAAGCATCCTAAAGTTCACAGTATAAGAAATACTGGGAAACTGAAAAATAATGTAGTTTTTACTGATAACAATTAGTTTTGAAGATAATATTGTTAAATTTCTGCAAAGTTACTGGTGTTTTTTTTTTTTTAAGTTTTCCAAGATTAACTGTTTGCTGTTCATCTTTTTGTAATTTGTGCTTTACATCAATTTATATTATACTAACTGTTTTAAATGACTTTCTTTTCTGTCAGTATGACACAGACTTCTATATTCTTGATAAATATCCTCTTGCTGTGAGGCCTTTCTATACAATGCCAGACCCAGTAAACCCTGTAAGTAAAAATCTTTGTTGTTTTGTGACTTTGTTTTAAGTTGAAAATTTTCTGTCTAAGGATAACCTGACAAAATAGATAAATTAAAATACTTTTATGTTGTCTTCTGCTACAAGTGAAATTCTGGTAAGAAGAGTTCATCAGTGTTAAAAGATTCATAAAATGTTTGTAGTTACTCTTTATTGGTGAAAGTGTCCCACAGTGAAACCAATCAAGCTAATAGGGGGGTAGCTCTATGAAAAGATTACTAAAGTCAGAGCATTGGTGCTTTTACTGCAATCTCTGAAAAATATATTTTTCTAGTGCAACAGACACTTTAATAGATTTTTAAATTGCTAGAATTCTCTAGTTTATTATTAAATCCAGACTAAATATTTCTATAACATCTTTTTCTGCAATAACTATGTGCAATATAATGTTTTTTCAAAGGACCAACTTTAACTTTTAAAAATCTAATCCAGCCTAAAGAGTGGAGTCAAATTACAGTTAATTTAATAGTAATTTTAACAGTCCCCAAATACATTTCACTTTTCCTACACAAGTTCGAGTGTCATAAGCAATGTTATTTACAGTTGCATATAAAAGCAGGTATATGTTGGAAATAAATTTATCTTTGTCTTTCCAGAAAAACTCCAACTCTTACGATATGTTCATGAGAGGGGAAGAAATTTTGTCTGGAGCTCAGAGAATTCATGATCCTCAGCTGCTGACAGAAAGAGCTCTGCATCATGGCATTGGTAACCAAACAAACTATATCATATAAAGCTAGTCTTAAAAGTTTGTACTTTGTGGTAGGATTTATTTCCTTTAGAAGAAGTATCCGAGGGGCAGAATTTGATACATGGCAGTATTGCTAAAACTGCAGTACTGCCTATTGCGTAATGTCTCTTGTTCTGCTTAGTCATTTTAATCTAGAATGGTCCTCTTATAAAAAATTGGTTTAGTTTCCCCAAAACACCTTGATGAAAATAGGTAATTTCTGAAGGCTTTATAGCGATCATAGTGCGGGAATGAGAGTCCTGCACAGGATCATGCAATGGAATGAGGGTCGACCAGCAAGTCTCATCCTGCCAGTCCCTCTCTGCCCTCTCACCAACCCCTTACAAAATCTCCATCAAGGCTTTTTTTAAGCCTTGAGTTGGGAATCAATAAGAAAGAAAGAATCATTCAAGGAGCTTCCACTGGTATGGAAGGACTCAACAGGGGCAAGGCTGGATAATAGTAAAAGAGTAAAAGTAAATTATGTGGCAGACAAGAGTGGAATGTGTAGATTAAAATTACGGTTTCAGGAGATATTAGATTAAGGTTGCAGGTAGGAAGTACCACCAAAGAAGAAGCTCTTGTATCGAAAATGGTTGTTGGATCTTCTTTTTCTCACTGTAGGATATTCAAGAAGTCACCATTTTCAGTAAATTACAAGTAGTTTGCACTACCTCTTACTTGGTTTTGAAATACCTAATACCTTCTGCCTTGAAGTTATTAACAAGATTATAAAATGAAATGGGTATATTCATTTCTAGACAGTGTTTGCAAAAACTGTTAGTTTGTACATCACATTGATAAAACACATTTTGTTGAGTTTGCAATCCTCTAGCCAATTGTGTGTTTGACTTGAGGTTCATTAAGCAGGTGAGAAATTTATGGAAGTAAACATATCTTTTCCCTCCCTAGATTTGGAGAAAATAAAAGCCTACATTGATTCCTTTCGTTTTGGTGCACCTCCACATGCAGGTGGTGGAATAGGTACGTATCACTTATCTCTGTTATTTACTTTGTATTAACCTGAGTTTAACTTAAACTGTTTGATCTCAAGCAGGGTTCGATATCAATTTCAAAATGGTAATCTTGTTAAATAACTGCGAGATGTTTATTCAAGGGGAGCTCCTTAGTCCCTCAGTGCATTTGATGAAGCTGTTTTGTTGTGGGGAGAAACAAGTGGTTGCTTCTGTCTTAACGTGCAGTGGTCTGACTGAGTGGTCCTGAGCAGCTTTGGCTAATGCTGAATGTTTCAACAAAGTTAT